GTCTTTGATGTCTTTTGAATGAACCTGATATTCAAAAATTTACCTCAATTTTATTATATTGTGATATCAACAATTTTTATTAAACGAAATATACTTTTCGGAATTCCTCGATAAGTAGAGTTAAAACTGAAGGTATTATTTTATAAAGAATATAACTTGGTAGATTATTTCGTATAAAATATTCAAGCATCAATTTTATTATTCCAAGCTTCATAAAACGAATGATGTCTGTCGGAATGTTTCGACAAATAGATCGATAGCAGGCTGTATTATATTTACGTCACTTTAAAAAATAATGACTAAAGCAATTATAACTCAACTAAAAAGGACAGTAAACAGGTCTCATCTTATTAAGTCATTTAAATGTTTTACTAACAAAACTGATCAGACACTTTATAGGTACTAAGAGCACTGGTTGGTCGTCATTTTGTCGAACCTTGTTCAAACTCTATATGAGGAACACCGTTGTCAACGGAGCCGATGTCACTCGTCAACGCCTGTTATGACATCACGTTCTATTCGCCTGGCAATTGCGGAATGTCGACTTGTTCAGAGTTATGTAACGCCCAGCGATAAAGCAGTGGACATCACTGAATGTTGGCTGGCTCTTCCTTCTTTCTTTATCGTAAGGTCAACTTCATCGACATTGGCTCACATTCACGTGCCTCTTGAGAGAAAGAAATGAAACTGGCGACAATAAAAATGCAAATGAAGAATAAGAAGAATTAGAAATAAAGTGAAAATGTCGAATTAGAAGATAAAATAAATGGTATTTAAAAAAATAGTTCTTCAGCACAGATGTGGATAAAGTCAAGTAGCAAAGCGAATGATGGATCTACTATGAAACTAATAAAGCTTAAGTTTCAGGGCCCCTAATCCTAGAAGGGGTGTGTGTGCTGAAGCAACTTTTTAATGAGTGAAATTTTCAACAAAATCGATGGATTTTTAAAAAAAGTGTTTCATATTAAAATAAGGCCATTTAAGTGATAGAATCATAAGTCGGTTGAAGTAGCTAATGTTAGCATTAGAATATGCACTAATACCCGTTTCATATAGCTAGAAAATTCCCCTGTAATTGGTTAAATTTCTAAATTTTCTTGGGGATTTGCAGCACCTGGACTCTCAGCTGTATGATCTTATCGGGCTCGCCAAAATCTATTTATAGCCTATATTTTGGTAGTTGGATCCTCGAATCTATCGTTGCTGGTTGCGAAGGGGTTCCTATATTTGTTCAAGATTCATGACCCCCACAATGTAGACCCGCCACTGAGCTGATCTCAGGTTCAAGCTCAGGTTATTTTTTTTCTGGATAGTTCAGTATTCTGTCAAGTTATAAAGCAAGCCATTTTCTTAGTGGTAAAGATTAGCTGTAATGGATTGGTTATAAAGTCCAGTACAGTATAAAAAAGGTGAGAAATTGAAAAATGCTCATTCCACATCCCACATAGACAATCAGGAATTACTTGCATTGATAAAGAGAAACGTGGAAGTTAATAAGGACAAGATGGTACGAATAACGAAAGAGTACTTTACAAATGTTGATGTGCAGTGTTGTGGTATTGTGCGATGTAATAGATAACGACACGATGCAAGAAATCGGAGGGTCGAGTTCTAATTTCAATCGGGTTCGTTATTTTCACTTACGCGCAAATACCAAATGGGAAAGATATGAATCCATCTCTTCACCCCACCCCCAGATATGGATTGAATAACAAGACAGACTGGGCCCTATAGCCTTAGTTTGCAACCACTCTACCACAGAAAGAAACGACTGCCTACTGCGGGAAATCTGCCCAGTCAGTCATGAATCGAAAGAGACATGATCGCCCAAGCGTGTAACACGTATGGAACTTGACTGACTATACAAATCTATATACTTTAAACATAAAAATACCACCAACAGTCACTTGTCTAGTTACTAGTAATGTTCATGAGATTAAAATAGAGGAAATTATCTTTATGCTTAAAAATGAGAAATGTGAAAAAGGACCACCAAGTGTAGGTAGCATATTAACAAACATCTTGAACAACGCGGGAGAAGCATTGCACGAAGGATTAGCTCAACGATTTTCCAGTGTATACAGAAAAATACCTCAAAACACTAGTCGAGGAATAATAATTCTCTTAGCAAGAGCGACAGCTCAAAATGCAAGCTACGAATTGCAGACATCATAATCAAGCAAGTATACAAATTTAACTATCTGGAATAGAGAAAGTTGTCTTCTAAAAACTAAGCAAAGTATTTAAGAGACAGGAAAACTTCGTTAGCAACAAAGAAAAAAATGCTAAACAGCTGTGTAATATCAAACCTCCTCTGTGACAGCGGATGTTGGACAATTGCCTCACAGATGAAGAAGAGACTTGTGGCAACAGATATGTGGTCATGCAGAAGGATACTGAGAATACCATGGACTATGTGAGCAACGAGGAAATTTTTAATGAAATTGGAAACAGAAAGATCATTTTTTAAAAATCAGTTCACCCCAAGCAAGGCGATAATGACACAAAGACGCAAGGGGCTACTAGGAGCGAAAGAGAATGAGAAGACTTTAAAAGGAACCGGAAATCCAATACTAAACAGGAAACAATAGATAAACCTCTATTCCTGTTCAAAAAACCGAGGAGAAGTGTGAACCGGGTAATAGGCAAAAAGACAGCTTGGAGAATCTTACACTCAAAATTACATATTGTTGTCAAGATGGACAAAGGAAAATGTTGATTAATCCCTAAAAATCTTGTGTTAGTGTATAGCAGACTGAAAGGAATAGTAGAGAGCAAAAATTGCTTAGAGCTTCAAAGAGTAGGAAGATGAGGGGGACCATGATCACACGCGCCTTGAAAGGGAACATCACATAAAAGAGGAATTCCACTTTATAAAGAGAGATAATAAAAACCATGACTTCTATCGTCCTATCATATTGCTATTGGACATGACAAATTATTCTTTGAAGTAATTACAAACGGACTGACAAATAGCCGAGATGAAAGCCAGCCACGCGAACAGGATAGTTTTAGGAGTGACTATTCAGCAGTAGACCATCGACAGACAATGTATCAACTGAATGTTAAAACTAAAATATAAAAAAAAAAAAAATACTTTATTCAGCTTTTGTTGATTATAAGACGGCATGTAACTTGGTAGAAAGCCCATCAGTTTTTTAACTCATAACAACACTAGGGTATCAAAGAAAAAATATCTAAAATTGGTAGTTTCACACTTTAAGCACTCTTCGCCATAATAACTTTTTTTTATCCAAATATATGATTGGTGTATACGGAATAAATTCCAATAACCAACAATTACTATTCTTAAAAGAGTGTTCAATACAGAGTAGAGCGAATATAATTATTTATTTAAAAATTATAATATAAATATGTTATAAAAATCACTACAAAAAATAGGCATTTTGTTTCAACACCTCTGGTGTCTTATCAAGTGATGATGTTGAATGTAGATTGTAGAATAAAGGATTAAAAAGGTTTGTAGTGATTTTATAACATATTTATGTTATAATTTTTAAATAAATAATTATATATATATATATATATATATATATATATATATATATATATAATTTAAAACGTTAAATAAATTAAGAAAAAACGGGCCCTGAATTTTTTGCCTATCACGATGAAGCCCCGTGCCTTGGGCGCCTGTTGAGACTTAAGCCCAAACCCGGTCTCAAATAAAACGTATATATAAGTATCCATTGTTAAACATACTGGCAAAATAGCCAGTTCCTGTACCGCTCCAGTACGTACCTGACTCCTTCTGCTATCCTCTGCCGTTACAAAAGCCGAAAATCGAAAATGGATTACTACTAACTTGTATGAGCAGACTCTGCCCAGTCTTCATTTTCTAGTCTCGATATAGTCCAAAAGCGTCTACTTATCCTTGTGGGTGATGAATTATTTTCAATCCTACAATTACTTTCACACCCACAAAACGTTACTGCTTTATTGCTATTTCCATGGAAATTGCTTAGGCGAACTACATTCCTTAGTTCCACCAGTTTTAACCTTCACAATTATAACCCGCCGTGGCGCAAAAATTGTAGCGGACCTTATTCCTTTAGTATTCTATTAGTGAGATATAAGTACCACTCGAGCAGATTCTTCCCCCGAACTGCTGCTTTGCGGAATCGACTGCCAAGAGGTTGCTTCTCTGATAATTACAATCATAACCTGTTCTAATCTAGGGTTAACCGTTATCTTCCTCACATGTCTGCATAATAAATTGTTTCTCTTACTCTACTTCGGGTGGCTCTTAGGCCTTGTACAGAGTGAACAATATTATATATATATATATATATATATATATATATATATATAAATGAACATTGAAAGTCAACACTCAGAGGTGACAGGGTGTTTCATGCTAGACACAATCGGCGGCCTGACGATTGCGTCTAGCATGAAACAGCTTGTCGCCTCTGAGTGTTGACTTCAATGTTCACTTTATTTTTACATACGCCCTATCTCTGATATTGAGCACTTTATCTCATAAATATAGCACACAGCACACATTAAAACTATATTTCTATATAAATATATATATATATATATATATATATATATATATATATATATATACATACAGTGCTGTGGAAAAGTAAGTGGACCCCTAAGATCATATTAAAAATGTCTGTTTTTTTTTTCCAGATAATTAAAGTATATATTCATTAAGAAAAAAAACTTTATAAAACGAATTACAATTGCTTCCCACATTTACATGATGTTGGAATAGAAAATATTAATTAAAAATTAAGATGTGCAAAGGTAAGTGAACCCTTACGTTTACACTCTATTTTTAGACTGTAAAATTTTTTTTAGATAATAATGGTTTAGGGATACAAATTTTACTAATTAGCCCATAACTGAGGGGAAGAAGAGGTGGATTCATACCTTCCCCAAAGGTATTTACGCGTAAGTTAATATAACGAAGCTAACGGGATTAACAATTCCGTGCTATTATCCATTACATCAGCCGCACATTCGAGCTTACAGCGCCTGTTATTCCTAAGCAGTCACCCATCTAGGTACTGACCAGGCTCTACTTTGCTTAACTTCGGTGATTGTATGGGAACAGGTGTTTCAACGTGATGTGGCCATAAACTCCAGGATTTGGTTTTTGATGTGAAAATGGCGAATCGCAGAAGGAACAATCATTTGACCAATTTCTACACGCACTAAGTTCAAAAAAGAAAGCTCTTGTTCGCATACAAGAAAAATACAATAAAATGACTTAACAGTAGTATATTGTAGGTCATTTTCAACGAAACGTCTATTATAGAGAGATTTGTGCCCACCCCTTGGATTCGTCCTTCCCACAAACTGTTATGGGTACGGAAAGTGTAATCAGCGAGTCGAGTTCAAATTCCAACCTAGTCAGATGATTCACTTTCGTGTTAATGCCTTTGGGAAAGGCGTGATTCCATCTCTTCCCCAAAAGCTATGAATTAAATACGGTAGACTCAGTTCTCTAACCTTGGGTGGCAACCAGTCCAAGAGAAGAAAACTCTGAATTCAAAACCGTGGAGATGTCAACAGGAAACCACTTCACTATTCTTCTTAATAATGCATAGCAATTCCCAGATAATAAATAAAAGGAAATTGTGGAGGGCCATGATCGCCTGTGTTTCGAAGACAAATGGCACTAAAAGAAAATGCAACGCTTATAAATTATAGATAAATATGACAACACCTAAAGCTAAAGAACCTCTTCTGTTTTTTAAGGGAGTCGTGTGAAAAAAAAATAACAAAACAAATTGTTTAACATTCAAACTGCAGTAACTGATGCTGGTGCTTCAATGTTCGTAGTCAAAGCAAACATTTGTAACAAGCCTGGAAAATGCTACAATGTATGACTCAAAATGGAAATTGCTTGCTCGTTCACTTTCGTGCTCGCATTATCAGGTACATTTCACATTCCCCTTATACGTACCGGTTTTGTTTCTATTTACCTACGCCGGGATGCAGTCGACGAATGCTGATGGAAGTACTGTAATAGTCAAGAAGCAGAAAAGTTCTCGCTATGTCGAGCATCTGCTCTCGTAATTCTGTTGAAGAAAAAGTTAAGTTGGTGTGCAGATATAACTTTCACCTACCATTACAACTCTATTACAACTACGCAGGCACCGGGGCTCATGTAGTAAAAGCGTTGATTTTGTAATTACACACAGAAGTTTCCAAACACAGCAACAGTAAACCTCAATGTTTTTTATCCTTTTTCATGACTAGAGTATACTTTCTGTGACATTCATTTGGTATAGTACAGAGTTAAAAGGAAGAAATGCAGGGTAGGAAGATTGTGTAACATGAAATTCAGGAACAAGAAATCGGCGAGCGGAGTTCGAATTCCAGTCGACCTCATTGCATTCTCGCAAATACCGCTGAGGAAAAGGTTTGAATCTATCTTTTCTCCCCTCCACAACTATGGGTTAAATAGCAGAACAGAATGGGGCTCGCCAGTTTTGGTTAGGCAACCAGTCTAGGGCAAGGACAACAGTGGATTCAAAACCAGTTGGGTAGGGAGCTGGCAACTCCTAATTTCTACAGAAGCCCCAGCGGCGACACCCTAGTGTGTTGAAAGCTGTGGAGTCCATCAGTTGTGTGAGTGAGTCTCACTGCCAATTTCAGTTACTTCAGGAAAATATTCAACTATCTTAGCCATGGCGCAGGCTCTAACGCAGTATTTTATTGTTACAGTGCAATGACCTGTATCTAGACATGCTTGAATACCGATACACCACAAATGACAACTCTGGATACGCTCTTGTTGATATTCTGCAAGGCTGCCAGTTAGGATCAATATTGCTCGTGTTATCCGTCCATTTAAAACCCAAGGTGATGTACAATGAAGATGCAAAACGATGGACTGGGAAAGCAGCAACTTGTGAGCAACTTTGCAAAAGTTCCAGTAAGCAGTCGAGTCAATTTTCCGTGGACAACAGCGATAAGGAAGAATGGTAACAATTAACACATCTACTATATAAAAAATATTCTGGGTAGGCAGACATGTGGGCTGACCTGTTCATCGCAACTCACAAGGTGAATAGTCCCTCCCTCTTATCTCGCTTTCACTTTTCTTACTTTATTTGAACTTGTTTTGTACCCCATATCATGCACTGATTACCCTATTCCGCTTTCATTGTTTATATAGTGTCAAAAAATTGCCATATCAACTGTGAAATTTTCTAACAAAGATAAAGTTTCCACTCAAGATATTCACAAACTTAATTCCATTAATTCCAGAGACCAAGACACACAGGCGAACGATCCCCGTTTTCATTGAAAGTGCTGTGTCATTTACCATAAACGCTAAATGAAAATAAACATTAAAAAAAAAAAAAAAAAGCTGTGATCCTGGAGAAAAGGCAGTATTTTATTCAGTACCAAATCTGTAACCTGTAAAATGTTCGATCTTACTTTGGGAATAAAATTTTACTACAGGTAATTAAAAGAATTTTTTTTTACTGTTGAGTTACTAGAATGTATCCCGATTTTTGTATAAGGTGCATTGATAAACAAACAAAACTCAAAACTACAATGTGAAATTTAAAATATAGAAACATTTTTGGCGATGACATAAAAAACAGAATACAAATGTACAGATACGTTTCTACAAAATTTTCCCTTGTGCGGCTTATTAAGGCAAGATAACCACTTCAAAAATTAAAAGGTTAGGCTTATTGAAGCTTATATAATTTTTTCAACAATTTTCATTTGCTTACAAACTTTCAAAATCGATAAAATTTGAGAGGGTTGACAAATTCACATGTCGAAGGGAATTTCAATAATAGTTTAGTTTTTGAATGAACTACAATGTTGACATAAATATCTTGTTTCTTTTTTTTTTTTATAAAATTTCAAAATTAGGTTTGATACCATTAATTTTAAGAATCTTTTCTTCTTTCTTTCAGCTTCTTTATCTTTCTTCATCTGTTTCATTTCTTCTCTTTATCGTCTTTGGCACCGTCGTCGTTATTATCAGAAGCAGCCTTCGGTTATTCGCATGTGAATGGCTAAACCCTTCTGGTCCTTAGACCAATTCGATTTCTTAAATAATCTCAAACAGGCTCTAGATTCAGTCCAGGATGAAATGTGTATAAAATTTTCGTAAGCGTAAATTAACTTCCTTATTTATAAAGCCACGCCTCTGACTGAATTTATTTCGACCGGTATGTTTTTACGAATATGAAAACCAAATTTTATACAAGTATCGTTATCATAAACTGGAAAGTTTCATTTAGGTGGCATTTTATTTATCTGAACCTTCTTTTTCTTTATTTTTTATTTTTTTTATCCATTTTTAAAATTATTAACCGTCCGGCTTTCTTTTTATAATTATTTGTTAAATCGATCTCGTCTCCTAACCCCCTGAGGATCGTTGGGGGTACCACATGTACTATAGTCGTAATAGCAGTGGTGTGTCTTGAATAAGATAGCCTGATGAAGCCCAACCCATTCCAGGCTGGTTTGAATTCACAGTTTTCATTCTAGACGAGTCGCCAAGCTTATAAGACCTCATCTGTCTTCTTATTTACTCATAGCTGGGAGAGAAGAGATGGATTCATCCCTTCCCCAAGGGTATTAGCACCTAATTGAATGTAATGAACATGACTGGAATTTGTACTCAGCTCTCTGATTCCTCAATCCACAATTCCACCGTGCCTCAATTTGTTATATACTCTTCTAAAAAAAAAAAGTGCAATAAACAAACTTAGTCTTTTTGCATTATTATTATTATTATTATTATTTTTATATTCACCTTTTTATTGATCTTTTATATAATTTATTATATAATTTTTATATTCCCCCACCCATCAAATGAAAGTTCCCGTGTGCGTCTATTTCAAATATGAAGTATCCACTATAATAACGTTTGAAGTAATAAAAATGTCCGATTAAAAATAAAAAAAAATCCATTGATTCTTTAGGTAATGTACACACACACACACACACACACACACACACACACACACACACACACATATATTCATATATATCACAAATTGTGTGTGTGATGAATGGAAGCTGAAAAAGGCACAGTGACTCGTTTATTTAATTCTTTCAGATGTCACAACATTTATTATGATATAAGACATGTCTAGGAATATTTTTATTTGGCTGCAGTATACACATCTAACGTAACATTATATTCAGTAACTTTTTAAACGTTAATAAATTAATATTGGCAATTGTCGTCTGCTTTCGGAAGTCTCTTCCAATCCTATTTTATTACGATCAATTTACTCTCTTCCGTGTTATACGATCATTCTAAAGAAAAACATTGGCAATTTGAACTATTTACTTATTCAACACGCCATTTTGGAATAGGGCGTTCTGTTATGAAAAGCCTACAATTAGGATATACCATCGGCTTAAGGTATCAATCCATTCAGCTAATGTCGTTTTCCAGATCTAAACCTTTTCGTTAGTTTATTGATATTTTTATGTCCAGAGAAATATAAGCTTTTAACTGCCCGCTGATGAAAAAAAGTATTTTTGTTTGGAGTTAATACTGGACATATTCGTTTCTAAGATGAATTTCAAATGACCCGTTTTGTATTCTGAATTCATTACTTATTAGTCGTAATCTAATAATAGCGATACACTTGTTTTCATAATCAATTAAGCTATGATTATTACATAAAAGATATGTAGAAGTTGTCTTTCGAGTTGGTGCATTGGACCTCAATGACTCGTGCGTTTTTTGTTCGAGTCATGGAACTGTTGAAGAGGCCGCAATCGAACTCACCATCAACGTGGCAAAGATCAAGGTTCTGCTCCAACCACAACCGGGACATCAACCTCTAAATTAAAATCACCATCAATGGACTGAACCTGGAGAATGTTGAACAATTTTCATACCTTGCTAGTGTACTAACATCAAATACATCAGCTGAAAAAGAAGTCGATAACCGAATCAGGGCCGCCCACGCAGCATACGGGAAGCTATTTAAAAGAGTCAAAAGAGTCGATGGCGGTTTTCTTCCTAACCTTTTTTATGAAGTAGTATCGAACGTCAACATCTTGATTATGTCATTATTTTCTCTTTGTTCTTTCCATTCTGGTTGTTGCTGTTGGTGAAAGTGCTCCATTGATGTGGTT